TCAAATATCAGCTAATGAGGGAAGTCAGAAAACCCATGAAGAATTGCAAGGCAAGAGTAGAGATCTATTTGGAACACTTTGGTGAAGTTTGCCCTAAGTCTGGTAAAATCAATATAATACCTTCTTCCATATTATGATTTAGAAAGAAAGAAAACAGAACTATTTGAATAGAAGATGAAGAAACTAAGCTCTTAACTAACTCTTTGCTTTAGAAGCCTTTGTAATGCTATCATTCACAAATGTAATCAACACATTAGGGAAAAAAAGCATTTTGTTTTGAAGACATAGTCTGTCATTTTCCTGCATTAAGAGGTTGATCATGTTTTGCTAGAACTTAGTGTCTAACTCATAAATTTTTTCACCCAGATTTCTTAATGTTTACTACTCATTTACTTTATCAGTGGCCTCCGTTTTTTCTTTCTTTTTTTGGAAAACATTTATATTTAAGTGAATCTAATGGAATTTCCCCTTTCCTCACAAGTACCACAAACTCACTTATATTTACAATGAATCTCACCAAAAGGATTTATTTTCCAGGAAATAAGGTGATATGGAAAGGAGTGGAAATGTCAACATGAAGGAAATTATTTTGCTCTCAATGAGATATTTTAATATTTATTGTATGTAAGAGCCCTTTGAAATGACACTGTCAAGAGAGATGGATCACATCTATTTTATAGGCTTCATGTATAATTTTATATGCAGCTCTATTTGTTCACAGTTTGTGTGCATATATGTGTGTGTATTAGTGAAGAAGGTATAATTGAGTTTGCAACATCACTAAAAGGGAGAAACATAACTATTTAATAATGAGGATATGAGACTTCTCATCTTTTACATTGTTGAGCTATTGGTGTTTCCACAATTGATAAAGTGTGACAATCATGGGATTTTGAGTAAAATGATCAGGATTCCAAACGTGATTCTTTTCCTCAATAGCTTTGTCATTTGTCAAGACAATTATTATATAAGAGCCTTAGTTTTATATCTATCAAATGGCAGTGGCAATAAAAACTATTCCATGAGGATTTGTGATCATGCAAATGGAAGTTCTTCCCATAATAGGATATATAAAATGGAAGTTCTTTATAACATTTTCATGCAAATGGAAGTTCTTCCCATAATAGGATATATGGGAAGTTCTTCCCATAATAGGATATATAAAATTAATACTTTAAATTTAAGACAAGATCCAGAGTCCTTCCTGTGACCTTTAAAACACTGTGTGATTTGGCTTGGAACCATTCGCCAGACCTTGTCTTCATCATTCTTCCTCCAGCTCACTCCACTCTAAAACTCTGACTCAATTATGTCCCTCAATCTCATCCAGCTTTTTTAGGCCTCAGGGTCCTTGCAAGTGCCATTCCTTAAGCTTGAAATTCTTTTCTCTCCTTTTACATGGTTGACATTCTCATTACATTTAAATCTATTTTCCTATATCACCTCCTTTCAGAGGCCTTTTCTGTATAGCTTATTTTAAATAGTGCCCCCTTTTCTCATTGTTTTCATTTTACCTCACTTTATTATTTTTATAGTTCTTACTACTAATTAAAATTATATAATATTTTCTTGTCTTTATTGTCTATTTTATTCTTTACAGCTAAACTCTACAAAATGAAAATTTCGCCTTTCTTGCTACTGTCATCCCAGCACCTAGAACAGTATCTGGTGCATAATAGGTGATGAACAAATATTCATTCAAGTAATACATAAGTAGATAAACGAGTGAATGATTTTTCATTTTGTCCTTACTCTGCATTAAGCAAACGAGAAAGTGATTTATATAAATTATCTAATTTAATCATTATAATAGGCTTACAAATATTCTTATTTTATAAGTGAAGAAAAGAGGCAGGTCATGAGATT